ACATTTTAAGATTATTTATATCAGCGAAATTATAACATAACAGCCACTTTCGTATTTGAATTCGCGTGTGGCAAATTTACATGCAAAAATATAATGGAAATGATGATGATGATGATGATATTTGTTTTCTGCGGACGTGCAGACTCGTCAACATCGCCAGTACCAACACTGCAGTCATAATAATCATCATAATCACCCTCGCTATCGAGAAAACCTCAAAATTCACATTAACGAAGTAAGTTTTTGTTTAAATACTTTTGCAAAGGTACAGTTAGGCCCAAAAATCCTTGAACATTTTAAAAACGAGATTAAGAACAACGACAAAAGTCCGTGACTGTATTTTGTTGGATCAAACAGACATAACTTCTTTCATTAAAATTAAATTATTTGGTTGAATTTTAAATTTAATATGATTTTACACCTGATGATGGTTTAATAAAACCGAAACATGTTGTAACTGTTCCAATTGTAAATCGATTATTCGATATGGAACACAGAATGATATTTTAATTATTTTAATTATCTTATTTTAAATACATTGTGATTTGACGGAATAACCAAATAATTTAATTTTAATTTAATAAATCACAATATGACGCAACGACACTATCTTATAATTTCTTTCGTGTGATTGCGTGTATACGAGCAAAATTTAAATATCCAGCTGTTTATAGTTAAACTTTCATTCACCATTTATTTTGTTCAAGTACTCTCGGCCCACCCTGTATTATGCTACATGTATATTCTGTTTTGTACAACTGAGAAAGTTGACGCACATTTGCGACTCTAAAATTTGTTATCAAACAACACTTTAACAAATGACCGATTACGTCCTGAGCTCAATTCTTAATAATACGCAATTTAACATGTGACGCAGACCCTCGGTGAATGGAGAAGAAATGCTCATGTCACAAGCAACATCAGCCAGCAACAGCGCTGAATAATCGGAAATCAGAAACGAATTAAAATATTGTGTGTGTTGGAAGGAAATAATTTAGTAATTATTCGTTAACAGAGACTGCATCTTACTTTTATAAGAAACAATGGAATAAATTCGGCAAACCCTCGTAGCAATAAGTTTCCACAAATTTATCTTATAATATGCAATAATTCAATATTTCAACTGAGCGAAATATTGCATCATTCAAAAACAATTCTGCTCAACATATTCTAACGTCCGATAAACATAACGAACACGTTCAGAGTTTCGAGTCGTATGGATTTGATGGTGACGTCATTTCCGGCTTCACTGAACAATAATGGCGTGACCTTGAGTCACACACGCGAGTGTGTGACTCTCAACCAACTCTTACTTTTAAATCTAGAAATTATATTCTGAAATTACCTCAAAAAAAAATGAAATAAAGCTACCGAAGGAATCCATTTAAAGCACGCGTGTGTGACACATGAGCAAATCGCTTCCAAACACTTTTCCTACCAAACCAACTTGGACTAGAACTCTCAGAGGTTGCGAGATCCTCGCAAATGCCTCGAACTGAGATAAGAATACTTTTTTTCACTACTGTAAATCTTTTACAAGAAACACGTGTTCTTTTAATATTTGCAAAAAAAACATAATAAAGCAGAAATATCCATCGTTCGACAATTCCGACGCCACAGAAAACTCTTTTACACGAACAAAACTCGACTCAAATCACGATCCAACGCAGCTGCGCGTTGCGTTATGCGCAGTGAAAGCCTCGGTTTGTTCTGTGCTGATTCACTGAGCAATCTCTTGACTTCGTATCGGTAAACAAACAATACGATAAAAATTAAAATTCTGGGCTTCATACAACAGAAATTTGGTTACCGTCTTAACTTTAATCTGACGCAATAAACGAAAAGATCTTTTAGTCTGTGGGAGTGACAGAAGATGCTGGTTTCTAAGAACGTACGGAAAACACTTTCAGTGAAATCTCTGCCGTGTGGACTACTTCTAAGTTCGCTTATCTTCAATAAAGTGAGCTCGTACTCTCCTTTCTTCGTTCTCAAGACACAAAAACCTAGAAACACGCAGAGATGTCAGAAGAACAAGTTTTGCTCTGTTCGGCGACTCAAGTGCACCGATAAAAATAAAGATATATCACTAAGATGAAGTTGAGTTCGAGTTGGAGGGACAACTGGCTGGCGGAGGAATCTTCACACTGGTTCGAACCATGTAGGTAATTCTCGCAGTGAGCCTGCAATGAGAACAGTCACGTATTTATGATAAACTTCAACATTGTCCGGAAGCAAATGACGACATTCTTACAGGAACGCGAAAATTGGAGACAATTTCCTTTGAGCGTCGTCCATTGGCTGGATACAAAATAGCATACACGAATTTTCTGAATTTGTCTCCAAGTAGATGAAAAACCGGGAAAATTCTGTAGGATCCTCTAGATCAGTGGTATTCAACCTGGGGTACGCGTACCCCCGGGGGTACGCGAAGACATCTTAGGGGGTACGTGAAATTTAAAAAAAATATATATTATTTTATGATAAAAACTGAATAATCAGTAATGTAATTTATTTAATTTATTCTAGATGTAGATTATATACTATGTATAACTTGAATTATACACCAACAACTTTGGGGGTACAAAGTTGAAGAGAAATTATATCTGGGGGTACGCGAACAAAAATGTTTGAATACCACTGCTCTAGATAAAGCCATTCCTTATCAGTAAGTCTCGTAATTTCAAAAGGGCACTTCTCGAAAAAGAAGGCGATGATGCCTCAAATGCAACCTGGAAGCTCTCGGTACAGGCAGGAACCATTATCGGGGAATAGAAATATTTTCATTTCATATTTTAAGGCGTATGTAGGGTCTGAGAGTCTCACGGTGGCGAACATGGAGATGGCTGTCTTCTTGGCTGTAGCGACGTGTAGTCTGCTAGAAGTTTACAGACGTTTCGGAGATACTTGCTGACTCCATCATCAGAGTGTTTGCCAAAAGTTTAAAAAAACTCAACATTCGGCACGGCTCAGCGCATCTTAAAGAAACGAGGTGGTGGGGGGGGGGGGTTTAGGACAGGACTCAATAATTTCCATAAAAATCGAAAAATGTATTGATTGCCTAAACGTAGCAATTTCTTAACAAAAGTATACAAAAAAAATTATTTTTTAAATTAAGCAATGACAAAAATAACGCGTTGAAATATGAAATATTTCAATGGATTTGAAGAACATTTAAGCAACAACTGACCTTATCTGGACTCGCTACAAAATTTACGAAACCGCTGACGACAACGCTAATATTTTCTTTACTTTAATGTAACAAAACAGAAATATAATAATGCGCTCATAGTAAATACTAAATTCCGAGTTTTACACGTAAAAACGGGGGGGGGGATTTAGGGCACATAGAGCACGAAAATAAAGTGTTGAATCACTGCACGATTACTTTTTGTCGGCTAAACACTTAAAAAAAATTCCCGTTAGAAATGAAAATCTTTGATGGCCGCGATTAAAATGCCTAGGTTATGATTTACAAGTTCATCAAATGTCCGCCATATTAGTTATCCATGGGACAAAGTGTAGCTCAGCGGAGCTGGACTCTTACGTTACTGAATCCATAACACAAGTAAGGTCTCTCGAGTGTCGTCATACACATTTCTCTGGAATAAAACCGCTTAAAGGAATTCACACAGTAAAACACAAAAGTATACTCTTGAGTATTACGTAATAATTAAGACTTTTCGTACCTCGATAAGGGTAAAGGACATCTGATTTAAGAAATCTTCTGTAAACTTGGCAGCTTCCTCCCCGCACTTATTCATCACTGTCCTCTGTGAGCAAACTAAGTAGTCCCGAAATGAACTGGAACAAAAAGTTCTATCATGTGTCAGCCAGTCACTGGCCTCAACAATTTCTTTATTCAAAATTAAATAAAGTGCCAGACCACCGGACCACACATTACGAGCCACGTGCTCTGACCTCGAGTCCCGGTAACTTACCAACACACCGTCCGCAACTCGTTTCCTCGTCCCGCGATGTCCAAGGCCGAGTCGTTCGCCGGCCTCCTGTTCAGTTCGTTTATGCGGGTGTGAACTTCCCCGATCTTCTGCTGGTACTTACGGACGCAGTCCTCGTATTCTGCGCTCACTTCCCTCATGCACGGCGCGTGGACCAGGAATTCTGCGGAGCAACAGAGACGGGCCACGACATTTGGTAGAGACGTCGATGCTGTTCTGGGTTGTGACGCCGTGCGCCATGTTTCTCCGAAAAAAAAGTTGCTATCAACACGGCCTCCTCACATCCCAAAACACCAACAACAAAATAACTTGACAAAAACAAGTATATTGAATAAAATTTTTCTTGGATATTATCCATCGTCTAGTAAATATAAAACGTAAAACGACGTTTCGGAGATGGGACTCTATCTCCGTCTTCAGGTTCCTACACAGTTGGGCCCACTAGATAGAGCCTTAGAAACACCGGTTTCGCTGCGTGGTCTCCAATAACTCCACAGCAAACGCAACCTCTCACTGGACACTTACCTTCCTGATAAGGACCGGGGTTACACAGCTTCTTAATCATCTGCGTTGTGCCGTCATACAGGCGATTGAAGTGTTTTCGCTGTTCCTCCGTCATGCAGCGTCGGGTATAACTATCGATACATCGAATCCCTCGGTTCATATCACTGCAATTAAAATCAGCGACAGAATTAATTATCGCGGCCTAATATTGGTGACGAGATGGGGCTAGAATGCAAAACCGAAATATAAGTCCCGACAAAGCTTCATCCTATTTTGCACTGTGCCGATCGAACAGCCCACTGCCAAACCACAGGTCTTAAGTTAGGAGCGTCATCTCTGAACCGGGACGTGGCTGGTCTCACTGTAGAGGCTCTACGACTGATCCTATAATGGCTAAATAACTTTGTGGTTCTCCAATTCCCATGGGAAACGAGTGTGAAAAAAGTTGTTGTTGTTCTTTGGCTCAAGTTGGTACAAAGCTAAAGCGCACCAATCTTACAGATTCCATTTAAACGAGAGAGAAAAAAAAGAATTCGAGATTTTTTTGTTAATTTCGAGATATATCGATATACGTAATTACTGTCATTATGAAAATCGATTCGAGTGACTTGAGAATAGCGATATTTATCGAGCAGAATTTATGCGCATCCAAGCAAGATGGCAGAAAATTTTAATCGACCTCTCACGATGTTTAGATTTCCGATTCCGTACCTGACCCCTCCACTTCTAGAGCCTCTGGTACTTTTTAAACTACTTTTTCATTTCGTACATCGTAAATTTAACCTCGATCGCACTGTCAGGTCTTCACACAGCATGGTCATGTTATTACTACTTCTGACATTGTTTTTTAAATGTTCGGATACTCTCCTGGTGGACCGCGATGTGTTTGTTTACAACACACGGCATTCACAGGAAGTGGCCGTAGACACTTACGGGCATTCAACCCAGAAGCAGGAACAACTTCCATGACCGCCACATGCTTTCACGGTTTCACCGCACGGAACTTGCAGGGAAAGCAAATATTCCTTTACGTGTAATGTCGAGATTTTTTTGTCAGTCTACACAAAAATTCCATATCTTTGCAGAAACAGGTTACGAACTTTTACCTCCACTCCCACGGCGTGTTTCGAAATAGGAACGACTTTAACAACAGAGCATCTCGCGTTGTTGGCGCGGGGCCAGTTCTTACGCTATGAATTGTGAGTGAAGGCCGTGAGGCTGGCAAGACACAAATTGTCACTAGAAAATTGACTACCAAGTCGAAACAGGAGCGGTATCCACTGCTCGACACTCAATGTCCAAGTATCCAACCAGAGGCAACGAAAATATGTATTATGATGAGGAAACTTCTCGACCTATGCCAAGAAAACTACCCTCCTTATTTTCCCCATAGAAAATCTGAGTCAAAGTTATTATTATTTAGTGTTCTGTCTGACGACAGGTCCGTATGAACAGGATCCTTCCATCCTTTTCTCGGACTGGGACCTGTTCATATACGTTCTTGGCAGATGATCCAGAAGTGGTTTGCCATTGCCTTCTTCTGTGTGTGAATGGGATGCCACGGAGAAACCGGGGAAGCCCCCGGAGGAAAACTCCGTGTTGCCTAGACCACGGCCTTGCCCAACACAAGTTATAAATTCGGGAATCGAACCCGAGACCCCAGGATTACAAGGCCAGCGTTCTAACCGCTAGACCACCGTGGCTTGAGTCAAAGTACACCACCACAACGCATTGTCAATCGACCTTGAAACGATCGCCTGCAAAATCACCACTGAAATATATAATTTCAATTTATTTTTATGTATTTCCTGTACACTCGTTCCATTTTCAATCAGGGGCTGCCTCAACCGCGGGTCCTATTTATTCATGCTCAAGAGTGTTAGACACGAGACTTTACGTTCCTGAAGATGGAAGCATAATGTTCTACGGAAAGGTTGGTTATCTACCTAAAAGTCCACACGTCGTTACACACAGAAAAAAAACAGCTTTAACAAGGCCTATATGAATTTGGGATGAAAACTGTGGCCAGTAATTAATCTCCACACACGCGAACAATTTTCGTGATGTTGGCTGTCCTGAAGTTACGCACCTGTCTCTTGAATGATAAGAATAACAGCTAAATGGCAGAACCACGAGAGAACAATCATCAGTGTAACTCTGTACAACTGCGTGAGAGGCCATCTGCCCCACACACACACACTGACTGCACCGCCCTATTCCGATAATATCGCGAATCGAGAGCATTCTACTGTTTAATTATTGGCTAACGGAACATTCACAGTAACATATGTGACGACGCCACATTCATCATGTAGACGATAATCTAAAAAAGTTGACTGACACAGCCCGTTCTGCGTTGCTGTGGTCAACGTTACAATCCAAATTTCTGACACATTTGCGTACATTGTGTTAATTATAACCACATAAAGAACTTAAAATCTCAAATTAAAAAAATAACCCTAAACTTCCTGGGGGTAAAGCCGGCCGGGGCGTGATGCTGACCACTCACCCCCCCATCTAGTGCCGAGGTCAAGGAAGAGAGGAGCTATACCGCCTCTCCCCCCAAGCGCCTACATGGCGTATAGTGGGACAAACTTTACTTTAATTAACTCCGCGTAGTAATCTTTCACCAGTTGGTAATACCTCCGATCATACTATAACTCGACACTTTATAACCTGAGACATTAACAGCGTCTTAATAAATACACAATGAAAAGACGCTAAAATTCGATAAGCTAATCAAGAAATTCTACACATATTACGAGACCCCGAAGGTTCATTGCCGAGTTTATAATAGCCCCGACACTGACTGGTACGTATCCTGAGTCAGATGAAACCATTCCTTACGAGATTTCAGTTCTTACCAAGAGGAGTATATGATCATCTCTGCCTGCTGGAATGTCGCGTCCTGTAGTCTGGTAGAAATCTATCGACAGTTCACATCCCTGATCTACCATACTACGCGGCACAACATCCCAGAGTTTATCCGTCTTCAGCCCTAGAGGAAGCTCTTACGTATAAATCAGATGATCAACGTACAAAGTAAAATATAAAGTGGCTGAAATTAATTTTAAATCTCATCATAATGTATTTCAATATCGTCGTGGATGTGTACCAAAGTTCTGTATAGCCGTCACATTGATTTCCGTTGCTGAATGTGATTAAAATTAGCTATAATAATTGTGTTAGTAATGAAATGTATAAAAACTGTAGCAAATTAGTTTAAAACGCTTTAGAAGGAAAAGTTACAATTTCTGGGAAGAGCACGGAGGTGGGGGTGGAACTCACTGGAATTGCGGGATGTGCTCTTAGTGCAACGAACTTCCCTGAGAGCTCCCTCAACAACTATTTTCATCTCGAAACTAATTTGTATACACATTAATTTCATTAAGAGACACCGGAACATATAACGTGGTCTGTCCGTCTGCAGGACTCCGTAATAAAAGCTTTTTTTATCCTTTTAATGAAACTTGTGGGTAACATTACAGCCGTCTCGGCTTCACTTCTGAAATATTTTTAAAAGCATAAAAGCTATTGCTTTCACCGGCACCATATGACAACGTTAATAGTCCAAAAAAACAAATACTCAAAAGTCCTTTTCTCTAAACAAATTTTCTTTTCCTTGTTACAATTAGCTACAGATCATTCAACATTAGAACACTTGATTCGGACTAAATATAAAATCATGGTCTATGCAATACACTCCACAGAAATTAAGTAAAAAGAGTCTTAACACCAGAAAATTTTCAAAAAAGGATTTGCAGCGTCTGATTTGTATTCGGAAATTGCAGGGTTAATATTCTTTCAGAATGGATTAATACATTTAACGAAGCTGCACAGTACGGATTTTACGAAATTAGCTACGTTCTCGTACGGATTGAGTAGGAAGCGGTCGTAGCCTATTTTTATTTATTTTATTTTATTTAGTGTTCTGTCTGACGACAGGTCCATATGAACAGGATCCTTCCATCCTTTTCTCGGACTGGGACCTGTTCATATACGTTCTTGGCAGATGATCCAGAAGTGGTTTGCCATTGCCTTCTTCTGGGTGTGAATGGAGTAATTGTTAGGATGACACGGAGAAATCCCGGAGGAAAACTCCGTGTTGCCTAGACCAAGGCCTTGCCCAACACAAGTTATAAATGCGGGCACCGCCGGGAATCTCCAGAAGTGGTTTGCCGTTGCCTTCTTCTGTGTGTGAATGGAGTAATTGTTGGGATGTCACGGAGAAACCGGGGAAGCCCCCGGAGGAAAACTCCGTGTTGCCTAGACCACGGCCTTGCCCAACACAAGTTATAAATTCGGGCACCGCCGGGAATCGAACCCGAGACCCCAGGATTAGAAGGCCAGCGTTCTAACTAGACGACCGTGGCAGTGTGGTCGTAGCCTATACGAAGGTAATACACCGGTATTTGTCTAAAGGACCTGAGTAAAGGCACGAAAGACATTCCGCATATCCGATGATCAGACCGAGATTCATACCTGGCACTTCCAGAACAAAGAACTATGAGTACTATTCGAGATTTCCTGCTGGAAGCCACATTTCATGACAAGTTCTTGTGGTTTTCCTTATTCGTTCAAGGAGAAAGCGGATGTAACCTTTAAACAGGTACACCGTCCTCACTACCACAGCATTTTGATGTAACACTTGTATCTACTCATCGCTCAATATTCAACAATTTTAAGCTTAAGAGGAAAATATAAGTACCACCTGTTTTAACGGTCTGTTAATCTAAATTTTTGCGCACGGAGATTAATTACGGGGTTTCTGCGATTCTCAGACTAAAGTGATATTTTCCTGAACATCATTAACAATTATATATTAAATCTTGTCCGTCTAATCACAATAATTCTTATTAAATATTAAAATATTACAATAATTAACATTTCAACATTTAAAACATTTAAAATATATAAAATATTAAATGATGTTCTTTATCGAAATATTCGATTTACATTAGACCATCATTTTTCATGTTTCACGACATGTTTCAAATCTTGAAATGTTAATTATTGTAATATTTTAATATTTAATAAGAATTTATTGTGATTAGACGGAAAAGATTTAATATATACTTATTATATCACAATATGACGCAACTTTACCATCTTATCATTAACAATTTGTAATGGAGGTTCGTTGTGTTTGTCTTAGAGGCATAAA